ATCTCATACCAAGTAATTAATGTTGTTTTTTATGTGAAGACTGGATCAGAAATGAAACAGAAACTTTTACTCATCTAAAATGGGGGGGCGGAAGTATACTAAGTTTCAGCCCATAAGGAATGTATAACTTACTAAAACTTGAGAATGCACATTGATTACATTTATTGACCAAAACCCATTTTTTTGTTCATACAAAAACATTTTTGCCTTTTAAAATAATCCAGTGAAATTCAAATCTTTGGATAAAGGACTAGTCTATTTCTGATCATTTCTAGTCTGTCTCACCATCACAATCCAATCTTTCCCACAGACTCATCTATGGAACTAACATTTCTTTAATGTAATTTCCTGATGAGAGTGCAAATGTTATTCATTGACTTAAGTAGTAGTTGAGTCAGATCAATTGGTAGACATGAAGAGGATGAAAGCAGACAATAAAGGGCATAGTTTGAGCTTTAGTATTTATCTTTTACTATGCTTTGTTTCACATGCAGATAGAACCTGTCACTTCTTTGCTGAGAACCCACTTTTAAATCTCGTAACTATTCCCCACATCTCTATTGGGAACACCATGTCTCCATGTAGTTTAAATCAGCACACTGAGTTTACAGCCCTTAGAAAAGTCAAATTCGAACAGTTGATATTTCCTAACTTTAACCTAAGCAAAGCTGGCATTCAGTTATAGTAAAGAAACTTTTTTACTGTACAGGAATAGCAGACAAGTATTCCAGTAAAGAGTTTTAGCTTGTTAGTTTTATTTAGTTTTAAATTACAAAATATTTCTATCTGCTCTTTGAAAACATTATTATAAACAAAGTAGGTGTGAGGTGGGGAGAAAAACCTTTGCAGTAGTGCTTGAATATGTAACTATATATGGCCTAAAGGTGGCTTATTTGCTCCTTAAGGCATGTAAAGAATTTAGTACCTTAAAACTATTAGAGGTTACTCTTATTTATGGAGTAAAAAATAGTCTAGCCATAATTAAGGTCAGATCATGTTTTCATGAACTAATGACCTCTTTGATAACAACCCAAATGTGTTGCAAAGTGATTTAGCAAAAATGCATGTTACCTGGTTTATGAAGTTCTGCAATGACTTGTGTTTTCTTACTTTTACATAACTACATTAAATACATGAGTTAGGGTTTTTTCCTCATCTGTGTTTGAAAAGACCGCATATATTTGGCTTTGGACAGGATTAAGAATCATTGCTTTTTTTTTTTAAAGGACTCTCAATATGTATGGAATTCTATTTCCTACTTTACAATTGTGTGGATGTTTTTGGTTTCTTTGGATTCCTTTGTTTCTCTTGATCAAAGTTTCTGTTTTAAGACTTGCATCTCAGAAAGCATGGCTGAGTCTCATTTGTGCTTTGTCACTAACTTCTACTTCCAATACACTTTGCTGACACGCAATTGCTATCACTTGCATCAAACCGGTGTCTGGAAGTGAACTGCAGATCTTGTATGCAAGCACCACTCCAGCCTTGGCTGAATAACGATTTTGTTGAAGTAGTGATGCAGAACAGAATAGTTTACTCCCCAAGTCTCTACCCATTCTGCTTGTGGATAAGGACTTTTTTCTTCACAGGTTTCTCCATAAAGCCAGGTGACGGAGAGCATTTATGTGGAGAGTTGAAAGGCTTTGATTGCTACTGATTAGAGGAAAATCCTGCAAGAACTATTTCTGTAAGGAAGGCAGATGAGGAATGCTATTCTTGCCGTGAACTGGAAGAGAAACAAGAATGTAATGAACTAAGCCATGACAAAGTCACCTCTGAATTTTGTTTGCATATGTATAAGAGAAAGGCCTTGAGTTCGTAACATGACAGGATGCATCAAAATATCAAAACACTGGACAGCACGCTATATCAAAAGAGCTTTGAGGACTTTCATCTTCACATTTCCAGGGTTTATCCAACTCTTGCTTTATTTCTGGTGAGGACTAGCTTTTGAACACAGTAGCAGATGATCTCAGGGCTGATCTAGTGTGCCATTGCACAGTTTCTCTATCTTAAAACTGCTAGATTTTTATTTGGTTTAGAAATTATGAAAAATAATGGGGGGAAAGGGGGGAGAAAACCCCAGATCAATAATAATAAAGACTAATATGTAATTGAGATTTCTACTGTACTATGACATAATCCTGTAGTTGTGTTCTTAGTTCTTCTATTTCTTGCACTTCTGATCAAGCAGAAGACACTAAAGATGGATTTAAGCTACACTCTGTCCCTTTGAGGGGTTTGTGGGCTAAAACCAGAGCATCCTTTCTACCAGGATACACAGAAAGTTAGGTCAATGTTGAATAACGTATTACCAGAGTGCGATAGCTCAAGGTAACTGCCCGTCTTCTCCCCCGCAGTGTCCTGTTTTGCACATACAAATTCCCATCTTACAGCAACTGTAGCTCCTGTTCTTTCTATTATAATACAGTCAAAAATACTGGAAGAAACACATATCCCCCAATTTCCATTAAATTTGTATTAAACAGAGAAATGTATATTATTTATATTTTCTACAGAAATACATATGTATATACACATACATAAATATATACATATATAAAAAACCCTTTTCTATTTATCTGCTCTTTTTACTGGATTGCTTGTTTGGTTAATGTTTGACCACAACCGGGATTGTTAAGAACTGACATTAATTGTAAGTAATTACATTTATTCTAAGATATAACTTGACATTATTAACATTGATTACACCTGTGTCTCTACAAAGCATGTAATAAGAAAAACACATATTCCCTTCCTACCATTCAAACAGATGTGGAGAACCAACCCTTCTCTATCTCTTCCACATGAAAAGCTCCTTTGAAAAGAGATAAGGAGTCTTTGTGGTCAGGTTGAAATATGCTGTTAAATACCAAGAGCTGCTAGTACATTTTTAAGGTGCCGATATAGCTTCCTAATCAGGAAGTTACCACTATTTTATATATTGAAATACTACACTCCAAGGAAACAGTGACTATTTAGTAACTTTCTGCATTTGCTGTAAAACTCATATTTAGATTTCTTTTAAACAAAGATCAGACACAAAATTTAGCTTCCTCAGTGTCACTTGTTTTCCCATAGCTTTTAAACATTTTCATTTTGTGCATAAACCAATTTTAAAGTACTCTGAATACTCTTATAGATATTAATGTAGTCAAAGTAGAAAATTAGTCAGTGAAGCAAGAATGAGTATAGTTATACTGAAAAATAACCTCTGGGTCCTTACAGCACAATTTGCCTTTTGCAAAATAAGATGTATTTACAAATTATAAAATACTTGCCCTGTGTCCATATTTTAATTTTTTTAAAAAATAGTATATAAAGGCTGAAAATGGGAAAAATTGTCACAATTCTAGTTCAAAGCAAAATGGAGAAAGAATTCAGTGCTCTTACAAATACAACCAAGTGTGCCAGCCTGCAGCCAGTCAGGAAAAGCAAATTGCAAACATGACATCTTTGTGCAAACAATAATTATTACTGACTCAAATCTACGTAAATTGTCCCCATCTAAGCTCTTCAGAGTTAAAGAACAGGGAGTACAAAAAGTGATCTCACATGTTCAGTCCAGCTACCACAACAGAAAAACTATATACACCTCCTGAAATAGGAGGAGGAAAACAGCTGGAGCTAGGTCATCAGATAATTAAAGTTGTTATAGTGCCAATAAAGCATTTGACAACTTACTGGAGTCAATTAGTCAGCCCCTAAATATTTTCTCACAGTGACCAAGATGTTTGTTTAGACAAACTAAAAGACCCTGAATTTCCTGAATCAATGCAGCATTTCATGTTTCTGTTAAAATTAATTTAATTTTAATGTACTAAAATTAATTTAAAGATAGGAGTCCTTAATTTTTATTTGGCTGCATGTAAAACTTCTTTGTGTGCTTTTGACTCTTACCATTGCAGGTGTCCATTACACCTGCAACAAAGTTGGCTTGGGTTTGATTTAATTAGGCATATCTTTCCCAATTACATTCTTAAGAAGGATTATGGAGATGAAGGGTAATATACAATAAAATAATAGATGACTATGAAATATGAGAAAGAAATCTCGTGACTGTTTGTGTTGAAAGGGACAAATAAATTAAAATATTATTACCTTTAAACTCTGAATATGCTGACAGCACTTTGCCTCTGGAAAAAAGTTCTAGGGACTTTGCTACAGGCAGTTCAGTAGAATCAGCTGATAAAATGTAGCTTGTTCCCTAATTAGCTATCAAGACTTGCTTCCAGGAAGTTCCTTGGAGCTGGAGGTTTGCATTTAGCTTGATGGGTAGCTGCATCTTTCTGTCTATTCAGCTTTAGACCTTGAAAACTCCCTGATACCTCAGTCCTGTATTTCTAGATCCTGCCGAGACATTGCTTGTTATTAGTCTGGTTGTACTTCTATGGTCACTCTCAACAAAAAAAGTTACGCTATCTTAATTAACCAGCTAAAGTACATGAACAATAGTTTCTATTTCCTTTTTTCTTATATCTTGTTCTTTATAAATATTATCTCAAATTAAAGGAGATGAAAATGAAATTAAAGAAAATCAGAATTTGTCATTCATCTTTTCTATGAAAGGGTTATGAAAACATGATGGGATTGCAGCTCCCTTTCATAAGATTTCTTAACATTATTTTGGGTCAATTTCAGGTGCTGCAAATCAGTGCAGCTCCTAACCTTTCAGTGAAACCATACCAAGTTCAGAATCAGGCTTATTTTAGCAATCCTTATTGTATTTTAAAAAAAATAATCCTGTTATTGATGTTTTATATCAATATTCAATTGTTTATAACAGAATTAGAACAAATGCACATTCTTTTCTTTGACAATTGAACAGAATAATTTAACAAGAACTTTTATAGTAGAATCAAATGTGAGAAATCTTAAGAATGTGTTGTTAGAACCCTGTGCCGTTTCTATCTTTTTGATTTTTCCAGAGATTTTTTCCAGGTGACGTCCAATATAAACATTCCCTGTTTGAAAATTGAGAGCACCTGTGGATAGACAAATCCTTTGAAGTCCCTTCAACCCTACAGGATCTTCAGTGATTTCTTTGAAACCTTGAGCTGTTCTTCAGTTGGACTGATGGTCATTTCGAAGATGCATTGCAGTAGGTTCAAAAAACTAGAAAAAAAGTTGAGAGAGAAGTTTAAGCTATGGGTTGTTAACAACTAAGTTAACCAACAAAACCACCTGATTTCTCAGCAGACAAAATAGAACTGCATTACAAGTGAGAATCTTCTTAGAATTTGATGTTCATTACCTGGATCATCAAAGCTCAATTGTAAGTATGTATGGCAATGACAGTTTTCTCCTGAACTTTATTTTTCCAGTGTTTAAACTGAAACAAGGTGTAACAATACGCGCTACAAGCTTTATGAAATTAACATACTGAAGCTAAATACTTTTCCAGTTCTTGTTTCTTTTTCTGTTCTTGTTTCTTCTCACTTGACCTCATTAGCATCTTATCTTCTCCTTCAACCTGTTACATAACTCTTTTTCTGTCATCATACTACGTTCTCTGCGTCCAAATAATATCCAGGACTCAGCACATTTAGCACATTCAGTGACTTTGTACCTTCTTCTGCTCCCAAACATTAAAGCTGGCCTCTGCTTATTTTTCTGCAGTTTATCATCAAAACTTTAACACCATATCCTTCCTTAGTTTGATCCACTCCACCATTCCATGTTTCATTACATTAAAAACTGTAATATAACATTACATATAAAAATTAAGACAGGTTACTTTAGAAAGAAGATGTGTAAGAAGATGTGAGAACAGCATATGCATTGTGAATGATATGGCAAAGGTAGACTAAGTACTTGTATTCTTCTCATTCAAAGGACACTCTTTGCATTCTAAATCAAGCAAATTTTAAAATAAAATAAGCATACAATTCACCTACCAAGATCACTGTCATAAATTAGTATTCAGCTCAAGGACTTAGCAAGATTTAAAACCAAAAACAAAGCCCAAAAATACCGTATGACAAAATAAAAAGCTAGAACAACTTTTTCTTATTTGTCAGATAGGTTTGTTCTACTTTAAAGAACTTCTCTATTTGGCTAATCTAGACAAATGTGTATTTTTTGTTACTGTATATAGCTTTTTGTGGATGGCAGATATTACTGTACTCTATGGAAGAACACGGACCATAGAAACATGCCGTTCCATTTTGCACGTATAAATCATGGGGGTGTCACATCTTCAAACCTTCCATCTAAATTAATTACAAACTGACCTTACATAGTGAGGGAGTAAGTCCTCTTAGAGTAACTTTAATGCTTTGTTTTTTTCATATTATAAATGGCACAGTGATACTGCTATAGTTAAGCATCTGTCAGCATTACAGTTATAAAACCTTTTGAGAGAAAGGGGGGCTTATCATAAAAGTATCAGCATTTTATGTGATCTAAAAACTGGCATCTGTTATTTCAACTGGAGATTCTTTCACATACATATTTTCAAATACCTCCTTTTTTCGACTTTTATGTTGTCCTTTGGTTATATTAGGTTCTAACAACATGCTGTCTAGCAAAATGCAGGCAGAGAACTGTATTAGCTTCATTTCTAAACTTTTACTAATACAACTGTTGTCCTGCAACACTATTGCTACCCACAACGCAAACCAGTTTACATTTAAATACCTTTTATATATCAAGTTGCATGGTGGATGACTGCTACTGAATAAGAATGTTTTCCCACTTGTTCCAATGGAGCATAGAACCGTTTATTTAAATATTAAGGCCAGAAGATAACTTTATGCCCATCCAGATATAAAAAGCATTCGGTTGAAGCACTTAATTTCAACTTGGATGTTTTTTTCATTTTTTCATTCAGAGAATGCTGCTATTTTGCTTAAAAATGTAGCAAAGGATTAATTTTACAATGAAAGTTTGCTACTAAACTTCCTGGTTTGCTGAGCTGGACTTGATTCAGTATATATGGAGGTACAAATACAGAGTTCAGTCTAAGATACTCTTGCTATCTGCCCAATCCTGGCTGCTCTGAAAAATAATATTCAAATGTTTAAAGGCACACATTTTATTAGAAACACCTTCTTCATTATACAAAGTTCTAAATCCTAAAATTTCTGTGTAATTAACATACTCTTAGTTTACAAGTATAGTAAGAGAAAGGGTGATGAACCTGAAGTCTTCCAAAAAGAAAATTATTAAATGGAAGGGGAAGAAAAAGGTGCCCCAAGGAGCACTTTGAAAAGTACTCAAGCCCCAAGGTTCTTAAAAATATTATCAGATACAATACACAAGAATGACTTCTTCATTTCTGTAACATATGGCCCATTACTTAAGCCATAAGAAAACTGCTTAGTAGTGCACAGAAATACTACCAAACAGCTTAGGAGAGAGCTCCTCATTTCATGCAACTCTCATTACATGAACAAGGCTCCTCATTCTATTTGATGCTCTGAATCCAGAACATGAGGTAAAAAAACTTCTTTCAAAAGTCAAAGGAAGAGTCTGGCTGGAAGATAATGATATGAGTTGAAAATTACCTTTGACTCCAGCGCTAACAGCCTGCTTTTACAAACAGATTCATGAAATGCTTCTTGATTTATTCTACATGCACCATCCAAAGACAGTAGGTAGCTGTTCAGTTTGGGAATCTCCACAATGACAGACTTTGGTTGGTGATGTTCTGCACTCCAAACTACACTAATCAAAATCCTAGAAAGCTGCGCTACAAGAACTTGTGCACAGGAAATTTGCTTATTTCAATGAAATGATTAGATTTTTTTTTTCCATTTTGTTTTTTAAACAAAAGCCAAATGAACTCAAAGAAGTAACTCAAAAAAGAAAAACTAACATACCTGAAATACTGCACAAAATGCACTTTATAAATGAAATTAAATTTCTTAACTGAATAATACTGTACCAATATTTAATCCTTTGGGCTTGAGCCTGTGATTGAGTTCAACTGGCCTTGAAGCATGCCATGCTTTGCTCACCTAACTTTTGTATCTCCTCTGCTTGAATGGAAAGGCTTACATATTTTTAATATATTTTTAAAGCAAAAACAATCCTGGTTTTCCTTGAAAGTAACAACTAGTAAAGTGATACAACATATTGAATTAGAAACCTAACAATGTATATCACAATCATTATTAGTTACAACTGAGTACACAAACAGGAAAATGTAACTTATGAAGAGCTTGATCAACATTTTACATAATTGTTTACATTCTTCATAATTCAAAACACCCCAGCTGTCAATACTGTTCTGTTTTCTAAATCTTGCTGCTGGATTTCTGTCATTCTATAAGGCTACTACAGAACATAATTTCTGAGTTTGTGAGCACGTTTGTGAGCTTGCAAAAGTGGCATTTAAAAAATATTTATAGTCAGCACTATGTCCTAGACTTTAGAAGTATTTTAAAAGCCTGGTTCTAATACAACTATTAATATACAAGGTTCAGTGTAAATATTTCATCACTACCAAGGGAAATGGCAACCATGTTCCAAATATTTCTAGATCCAAAATGTGAATGGTTGAATGAAATCACTGGAGTTATGGCAAGCTACACAAGCTGAGGAACTGGCCTCTAAACAGAAGCTGTAATGATTATACATGAGCTTTTTTGATACGTCCCTTCTCTGATTGAGATAAGTAATTTGCACACATAGTCAATATTTTAATAGCAGGATCAGTAACTCTGGCACAAATGCTAAATTTAGCATTGGGCAGATTTTGAGTGGCCAGGAGTTAGCAGCTGTGACCTCTTGAGAGAGACATCTGCAGGAACATTTGTAAGAGATAGTGCCTCCTATCTTCCTGCCCTCCTGATTTCATATAAGCTGCTTGGCAGCACACTCCATCTTTGAGAGACAGCATTTTCCAGATCATACTAGTAGCAAAAATCAGCAAAATTAGAGGCTAGTAGTCTCTGCTTCAAGCAGAGGCAAAATGCCACCAATCAGCTGATCAGCACTGTCTTGTACTTTGAACTGTAACATCTCTTGGCTGTCCATGAGATTTCCCTTGGCCTGCTTTACCTCTAATCTAGGAAATAAAGATACAATCTGCTCACCACTCATACCAGATTGCCAGCCTCTGTTTTCATTGATGTAGGGACTTTGTGCACTCAGTACTATCTAAATACCATCATTATCTCTCTAGCTGTCCTAAATAAAGCTAAATGTACCAATCATATTGGCTGCAATGTACAGTGAGATTCAAAACCTCTATGGCAACAAGGCAAATGAATACATTTTTTACCAAGGAAATGGGACACCATTAGCTGTATTTAGGCAAAAGGGAAGAATTAGAGAATTAAAGCATTAAAGACTTAAAGTTTAATGACTAATCACTGACTGATTATTCTAGACATGCTCAATTTGCAGGGCAGACATCTCTTCTGGACCTCATGGATATCTAAAGATATGATCACTCTCTGCCTGATTCAAACAAACTTAAGCAAAGAATTTGGCAGCTTTATCTGCATAAAACAGTTCAGCTATACGAAGAAACAGGAAAAATCAGTGTTAAAATGTATAAAAACAGGGACTTTTGATTCACAAACTGTATATTGCAGTTGTCAATTCTTCACTATGGATAAATGTTTAAACTGAATAACAAACTTTTTGGGGGAGACTGTTATCTTATTACCTCACTGCGCAAACCTTAGGAGATATTAAAGTTCTTATCTCCTTCACTGCATTGCTTCAACAGATAATTCTACCATTCCTTACTGCAGATAGGAAGATTAAGAAATGGAAGATTTAAGATTAGTTTGTTTGCTGAGAATGGCGTCATACGTTGTCTTACACAATGTGTTCTGCTTAGTGCAACATGGCATAGAGGTAAGTGTTTACATTTCTCAACTTCAAATAGCCTTTGTAAATTGTACTGAGTGCCACTACTACTGGAAGCCACAGCTGATTTTTTCAAGAACGCTATTATCAGTGACTTTCCTCAGAAAGCACTAATTAACTGCAGTTGCAAGGGTAAATGAACAATTAAAATAATATTGGTCAAGTAAACATATTACATATTATAAGCAAGTATTCAGAAATTCTACTACTCACTTCCATAGTGTCTTTTGAAAGATAAACGACCCAGTATACCAGGTTGAATCCTGCAAATGCCACTGGAAAGAGGATCCTAGAATACTGGTCTATTTTACTTGTGCCTCCAATAGGGGGTGGTGGGGCTGGCGGAGGAACAGACACTTGTTGACACTGGGATGCTCTATTTGATATTATGCTGGCTTCAGGAGACTGATCTGCCTGAGATGTTACGGAGTTTACTCGCTTCTTCAGGTTACAGTTGGAGTCAGAATGCTGTGGAAGAAAAAAGAAAAAGGAGGAAAAAAAAAAAGAGTGATTTTTGGATACAGAGTCTTAGGTTTTGTGATCATTAGGCTTCTCTCCACCTTTTTACTCAACTTTCTGATTTTATTGCTGTTCCTCTGCTATAGAGCAACCTAAGGAAATCACAAAAATAATGCAAATATACAGAGATACGTTTGTGGTCTAAAACTTCGCTGTAAAAAAATGTGCTTTCCATATTTTTAACATGGTAATAAATGGAAGCTACAAGAGAGAAAGAAAAAGAAAAAGAAAAGATGGAGTTAAAAGGAAAAGAAAAGAAGGTAATGGTGTATCTAAATTGCAATATATTGGTATGACTGAAGTTTTTGTAGATATGAATCAAGTTTAAACTAAATAGCACATAGGGGCTGGCTCAAGTGCAATTTTCATCATGTGAGCCCATTGATGAGTTTTGGTAAACACTCACTGAATGGAGTCAAGCTGTCACAGTTATTAGTTCCCAGACTAGCTACTGATGAACTAGAAAACTGCTGCACAAAAGGAAATGGACTAACTTTACAGGTGCTGAAGGCATGAATGCTAAATTGTCCTGCAGTTTTTTCTAGGATGAAATTTCATTTTCAAATACATTTCACAATTCCCACAGCAGTTTCATGCACACAGCTGAAGACAAATACTCATCCTAACTGTAATGGGACTATTTTTATTTTAATTTATGGTAAAATGAAACAAAATTATTCTTATATTTTGTGCTATATTCATAGCCAGGTCCAATTACTCTTCAGAAAGCTGTATGAAAATTCTTAAAAATCTAGCCAAACCTCAGGAACATTTAGAGTTTACCTCTTAGTTGCTGACATATCTATTCATTATGTACACCGGTTTTATTTGTGGCCAAGTTGCCATTTTTTTACTTTCACAAGAGTAGAAGTAATAGATTTCTTCCCTGCAGAAATGGCTTAGGAATAAGATCTACCACAGGCTCTAATGGATATCAGTAGTACCAAATGGGAGGAAATTTTCAAAACCTTGCTGCTACTGACACTACCCAGGACTACCATTAGTAATGTGGATGCATGGCAGCAGCCATAAGATTCATTTGATGGCCGAGAAAATACAGAAGAATGCCTAGAGTGTCAAGTTGGTTTTTATTGTTTTGATATGAAGTACTCAAGTTTTTTGTTAATAGGGAGCACTAGAAATACCTTAGACTCTAAAAAGCAATGCTAACACACAACATTTTAGTTGAGATTGAGTCTAAAGCTTCATCAATAAAGGATTGCAAAACTTATTTCCAGATTATTGATGAAAAATCTTGTGCACAAAATTGCACAACATACGCAGCTATTCTTGGGTTTGAATAAGCAGCTTTTTTGGTCAGCAGAACTAGATGACCGAATGACTGAAGCTGATGAGGGAACTCTTAGACAATATAAATAACTTGCAATACAACAGCATATATATCTATTGTAAAATGGAATAGTAACATTTAAGGTAGCAAAATTCTGTTAGATGTGCAATTTCCAAAGTCGTTCTTTGGGAGTGATTTAGTGACAATCATTCACTTAAATGTAGCCCACTGTCAGCATTTTTGGGATTTATCTTGCAAGATTTCTCTGCATGGAAACAGGTTTTAGTCAATCAGGTAAATAACTGGGTCGTTAAAAGGAAAAGAAGCATTTTCTGAAATACATTGCCTATACTTGTACTTGGGCCACAATTTCTAGATAAAAGACTAGCCTAACACACCTGGTATCTCATGTATGACTAAAATAGAGTTATAACAGAATTATCCTTTTAGCGGTCAGTGTTACTGCTAGAGTATCAAAACAAGTGACGTTGCTACACCATGATGCCAAGTTCTGCTCATGGATGAATGGACTGGTATCCACCTGAAATCAGGGAGAGATGGATTTCTCATAGCTGATTTTAATCTAAGTAAAAGGTGGAGAGAACATCAACTTATTTGCAAAAAAAAAAAGTAGAAAAAAAGGGCTTTTTCTGTATATATCTTTTACCTATTGCCCTTTTTCTTCCCTTACAACCCATCAACACTTCTAACTTGCCACATCCCTCTTTCTTCCACTTTGCCATCTACACATTAAATTATTAGTATCATGTCTTGAATAGATATTAAACGGCATTCATATTCTGGGGCTGTGCCTATCTGGAACGCAGATGTTTGTTTTTTGTATTTTCCAGTAACACAGCAAGCAACAGACAGATTTAAATGGAGGATGATCTACAGATGTGTCACAGAAACAGAAAGAGGGTTATCCATGTCCACTTGCGCTAATCATAATAATAATCCCATTCTATAAACAGACTGACTGACAGAGCCTGAACTACTGCTTTCATTCAAGTTGCTACTCCATTTTGCTTGTATACCCTGCTTTGAACTGAATTGTAGAAATCGTAAGGTAGCTTGTTTTTTGCTTTACTGCAAGATAGCTTGACCTTTTGTGGAGAATGAGTGGTTCCTAAAAATATAAGTGCTAAGGTGAATCTTAGCCCTTTTTATTTGGAATATTCCGGTACAAGGTGGGTCAAATTCTGCTCTGTATCATTCAAGCATGAATCGGGAGTTATTGTACTGAAGTGATGGAGTTAATAGTAGGCCGAACAGATGTAGCATATGATCTGTGGATGATATTCAGTACTGAATGTATTTAGAACGTAGAGGTAGTAAAATCATTGTGATCATCTGAATAGGCACTTGGAAAAGTGTAATCCTGGTCATTATTTATAATATTTATGAAATCTTATTCCCATAGAAGGAGGATTGCTATAGAAGGAGGATTCTCTCAATGTGATTTCATCTTAAGTTGGAGACAGGAAGATCTGGAGTCAGTGCAAACCCTCAGAACTTGGGGAGCACACTAACCTGAATATGCTCTCACTTTGGGGCCAGTTTAGGTCCATTTCTATCAATGGAGTGATATTAATAACTTCTCATTACCTAAAATAGCCTATTCCAATATTCTGGAACGACAAGTGCATTTTACTGTCTCAGTAAAGCTGCAGTTTTTTGTCATGCTCTTCACCTGCTGAGGAGATGGTTTAGAGTTGATATAAATCATTAAGAAAGTCCCCAAGTAGTTCTTTAACACCCTCGTGTGCCCATCCAGCAAGTCAGGGTCAAGACTATTTTCTTGTATATCACTACCCAGGATATGGAATTCTAAGTCCAAATTTATCTCAGATGTGTAATGAAGATGTTTCTCAGCGTGGCAGCTGACTGTAGACCAGGCTTGCTGCCCCAGAACCACAACTCATATTTTGCATTGGAATTCACTGCTAAACCAAGAGGAGGAAGCAGCGGTGAGACGAAACCATATAGTTTCTTATTACAGTTGAATTCTGAACAGCAGCTACATTAATTTGTCTACTATATTTAGATTTAACTTTTCCTTTTGACAAAGATTACCTACAATGACACCATGAAACTTTAGCAAAACACAGAGAGGAAACAGGAATGAATAGCCTATTTTGCATAATTCACACAGCCAATCACTCAACTAGTAAGGACTGTTTTACAAGTAGCAAGAGCAACAAGAAGAAGCCTGAGGCATGGCACACTGTGTCATAATGAAATAATGAATTTTGTTAATTTACTGAATCCTGACTCTTGCAGTCCCATCAGGCAATTAAACTTGTCATTACGTATGACTACCCAGTGACAAAGAACAGACTGCAAGATCACTGTTTAATATGAGATACCATAAAACTGGACTAGACAAAGACTGGTATGTATATGGGCTAGTAAGATACAGTCTGGCTTCTATTAAGCTTTTGCAGCTCAGCTATCTGATCCCCCAGAAAGCTCACAAAGCAGTCTCATCTTGTCTATAAAGGTGCTGCTCTCTCACAACTCTCATCAGTATCACTAGAATTTGCTTATACTCAGAATATCTCAGGAGGCTCCCAGCAAATTGCTTGGCTTCCAGATTTAAAAAAATACAGCATACATAACCTTGGAGTAAACAGAATTCTTTGCTTTTTCGGGTTTTTATATGGATGCTAACTGTGATTTATGAATGTGTTTTGTTCTTATGTTTCTTTTCCTCAAGAGATTTCTGTAATTCATATTTGTAAAATTCTCTAGTGTTCTCTGTTTCTTTGCACTGCAAATACATATTCTCACTATCAGTTTAGTTTATGATCTAGCGGTAACATGAGTATCTTATGCATGCACTCAGATATTGGCTAACTTTAAACAAATGAATATCTGTAAGTCCTTACTTATCTCTCTTTTACTCACTTATGTCTCTTTTTCCTGCAGGCAATGCAGTAAAAAGAGGTTTGTGAGAATAAACTCTAAAAGTTTAGACAAAAAATGTGTTATTCCTCCTTTTCTTTATAATTTATTGGATTAAGGATATTGAACTTTGCTGACATCCCAAAACACACACAAAAAAACCCAGAAACAAAAAAAAAAGCTAGGACCAAAACTCAATGTCTGTACAAGGCAGAATACTAAACTAAATATAAAACATTCTTTTTCCCTGCCCATCTCATTAGTAGATACAGTTTGAGTAATTTCAACCATTCATATTATACACATAAAATCACATACTAGTGACTTAGTGACAAAGAGGGAATTAAGCATAGTCTGGCCCCTCATTCAACGGTGTAATCTGTAAAAACTCTGCTTAGCTACTGAACAATCCATATGCAGCACCCTGCAGCAGGAAAGGTCATCACATTATGTAAGATCTCCTTTTGGGCATGCACTAAGGTACTTCAATCTTTACAGTCCTGTGCAGTTTAAGTATCCATCTCATGCCAGAGATTCATTATAACCTATAATTTAGCCATTTCTTTACATATCTCATCTGTGGGATCTGATTCAAAAAAATGTGTATTGCAAACATCTATAGACAGTGTTCTGCGTAATTAAAAGCTGAACATAGTTTAGAAGTCATTAGTAGGCCTAGCTTTAGGTATCTCTTTAGGAATTCTAGGCATATTATGACGAATAACATGCAAATTTGTTTTCTTTGTGCTTT